ACTAATTAACAATAAATCCAACCTTACCTTCAGGAGGTCAGCGGATAAATTAAAAAAAAAAAATCTGTTTAAAACTAACTTTTCCATTTCCGCGTTAGATGACCATATTTCGCGTTAGATTCATAAAAAGTACATTTTATATACAAAATGTATATATTTTTAATATGATTCATTATATTATATCAAGAAATAATATAAGATAACAAGAAATTAAATCTCTATGATAATTTATTTTAGTTATTTTTGATGAAAACGTGGGAACCCTGGGCTGATAGAATATCAAAACACAAAATTATTTTTATTATTAAATTAAATAAAGGTTAATCATAACTTATTCTTTAAAAAACCTCGACGATTAATGTGGACTTTAAGCTTATTAAAGAAGGAAGGTTTTTTAAAAAGGTAGGTTTCTGTTGTCCCGTTTGAAGGTGATGAAAAAAAATCGTGAATGATACATAACTCTTCGAAAAACAGATAAGCTGCTTAAAATACCTCTTTTAACGGTTTAAAAAAAAAACAAACATAAACACTACTTGTATTTGAATCCATATCGTTTTTTACTATGAAGCAATTATCAATTACTTAAATTAAATATATTTTTAGTTATCTCTTCCTATTCAATAATGTGACACTTGAAAAATAAAACACCATAATTTCATGTTTTTTTCTGGGGAAACTCGAACCATCGTTTACATTATCTTTTTTGTAGCTGTTGACTGGACAACCTATGGTAGTAAATTACCACTATATTCTATTCTATGTGTTTATTGGAGGGCGTCTATTTTATATATTTAGGCATTTTCTTAGTTAGAATTCCAATAGCAGTTATTAGCAATTACTTGATACTATTCCATTAGCATAAGAAATTAAATACATTAAAAAACCTTAGATGAAATGAAAACTGAATTTATTTTATTTCAACAAATTCCAAGGGAGTAACTGTTTACCCTCAGACCCCAAACGATTACAGAAAAATTGTAAGTTGTTTAAGAAATAGCGGAGCTGAATTTCATACCTATCAGCTCCCTGGAGATAGAAATCCTCGAGTGGTCATCAAAGGTCTTCATCACAACACCCCAATAGAGGAAATTAAGACAGACTTACAAGCATATGGCTACCAGATAGTAGGCATAACTAACGCTATCTCTCGCTTCAAGCGGCCATTAGCGATGTTTTTCGTTGATGTTAATAAATCTACTTTCAACGAAAAGATTTTTGACATCAATAAAATATATTATACAAAAGTCACATTAGAGGAACTTAGGAAGAAGAAAAACATTCTTCAATTTGTAAGATGCCAGAATTACGGCCTCACCAGGTCGTATTGCAATCACTCACCGCGGTGCGTCAGATGTGGAAAGGGACACGAAAGTTCTACGTGTAACAAAACACGAGACACTCCGGCAAAGTGCGCAAACTGTCAAGGTGAGCATCCAGCAAATCATCGTGGGTGCCAGACACTTCTAGACATAAGGGAACAGAAGAAGACGAGAAATAACGTTAATCAGAGGATACCACCTCCTCCTACGAACCTTCAAAATTTTCCGTCTCTACCACAACCAACTATCAAGTGCAGAATCAGAAGCAATATCAGCAGCAACCCGTGGTGACTTTAACGCAAAGCACTTTAACGTAAATTTGGGGGTCACGGCTATGTACTCTAAGAGGAAGAAATCTGAGGGCTGCTATCCATGAACATTCATTAGACACTATATCACCTAATGCACCGACATATTGGCTAGGCTCGCGACAAAAAACTCCAGACCTACTTGATTATTTTATAACAAAAGGACTACGCACCATACCTCACACCATAAATACAAGCAAATACAATACAATCTTTGCTTTGATCAATCCCTTATACACTTGGTCATCATAGATGAGCCCATCAACCTTCCAAGAAACCCAAAGCTCATCAATGGTAAAATGGACTGGGATGCATTTAGAACATTTCTGGATTCAGAACTGTCAATCCCTGGATCAATTAAAACCGTGGAAGAACTAGAAGAGGCAGTTGACAAATTTACTAAAAATGTTCAAAAAGCTGCTTGGACATCAGCACTTCCAATGCCATCATGGCCAGAACATTTACCCAGATACCCTCAGTATATAAGGGACTTGATCACCGCAAAGAGAAGAGCTCGTAAGGTATAGCAGACTAACAGACTACCTTCAGATAAACGAACGTTTAACAGACTGAACAACGATCTTCAACGACTAATACAAAAATCATTGCTACAAACTATGATGCTTACTTGAACAGCCTATCGACTGACGATGGAAGTTTGTGGAAGTATACCAAGAATTTGTTAAAACATCGAGAGGTATCAGTACCCCAGAGAAAAGAGGATGGTTCATGGGATAGGGAAAAATTTGAACTATTTGCTGACCATCTATCATCTGTATTTACACCATTTACTGACTTTGCAAACACAGAACATGAAACCATTGTACTAAACACTTTAGATATAGCACTACCGTTGACACTACCACCTCTTTCGTTCACTCCTTCACAAGTTACACAGGAAATCAAATATCTACCCAAAAGAAAAGCCCCAGGTTATGACTTAATAACTGCCGAGGCGCTCCAGCAAATACCCAGGAAAGCACTAGTGTTCCTTACGACAATTTACAACTGTGTCCTGAGGACAACTAAATTCCCACTACAATGGAAATATTCACACATCAAAATGATACACAAAAAGGACAAAGACATTTTCAATCTCTCATCCTACCCACTGATAAGTCTCCTCCCAATATGTTCTAAACTTTTCAAAAAATTAATATACAAAAGATTGGTCGACTTACTAACTGAGCAAAATATAATTCCTGACAATCAGTTCGGTTTTCGTATTTTCCATTCAACAACACAACAATTAACCAGAGTTACTGACTACATTGCTAGAACACTTGAGCAAAAACAATACGCAACCGGCGTGTTTCTGGATGTTGCCCAGGCATTCGATAAAGTCTGGCACCAGAGACTTCTCTTTAAACTCAAGACACTACTACCTCATACATATTACCTCATTCTGCAATCTTTCCTTTTCGACAGATTTTTTTCTGTCCGACAATGCCTAGAAATTTCCTCAATTCGACCAGTGTTAGCAGGAGTACCTCAAGGATCAATACTGGCTCCTTTACTCTACACTATATATATATACGCATGACGTACCTACCAACTCCGAAACATTTACCGCCACCTACGCTGATGAAACAACAATTTTAACAAAACACCATAACCCCAGATTAGCTTCAATAAATTTACAAAATCACTTACTTTACAAAATTGGTATTCACTTTGGAAAATAAAATTAAATCATGACAAGTCACAGCATATAACATTTACACTTCGACGAGAAACGTGCCCACCAGTTTATATAGGAGAGAACCAAATTCCTCAGACAAACACAGTACGTTACCTAGGACTAATATTCGACAGAAGGATGACCTGGGGCCCACACGTCAAAATGAAACGACAGACCTTAAACAAGCGACTGAAAATACTGTACTCACTCTTTTCTAAATCAAAATTGAAAGTTCGACAAAAACTAAATACATACACTTACCTACTCAAACCCATCTGGACATACGCCTCTCAGATTTACGGTTCGGAAAAAAAGACGCACTTACAAAAACTAAAAAATCCAAAATTTTACGACTTATAACAGGAGCTCCCTGGTACGTCAACAACAAAACTTTACATAACGACTTACGACAACCAACTATAGACCAACACATACGTACTCTCTACTCTCGTTTTCATCTCAAACTACACGGACACACAAACAGATTTATAACCGACATGGCTACGACTGACATGCCCATCAGGAGGAGATTAAAAAGGAGCTGGATGAGAGATCTTCTCACCTATATAAAAAAAATAAATAATGACCAGGAAGAGGTACTGCTGGGTACTATCCTTCCTCATGCCTTTAATGCCTATCCTCATCATCAGAACCCATCTGCTGATTGTCAACACCATGACAGGTGCGGATAAATAACTAAAGAGAAAAAAAATTATTTATTTATTTTTTTATTGTTTATCTTTTTAATTTCTTAAGTGCAAAAGGGAAGTTTCTCTTCCCCTTGTCGACACAACAGAGCAATTCCAAATTAATGAGTATGGGAACCCTAATAATCAAGGGTTTATAGCAGTCTGGGTCCGAGGGCCTCCGACATACAAAACCTTCATCGGGGGAATCGGTTGTATAGTGATTATTATTTTAATTTGAAAGAGTATGACCATAGGTAGACACCGTTTACATTGAACGATTTCGTTTCTATGTCTCGGTTCTCTATGTATGTTCTCTACCACTGCTCTATGTAATCCAAAAATTATAAGAAATATTCAACATTTAATAGAAAACTTTTCGATCTGCAGCAGGCAATAGTAAAACTATAATCAAGATGATAGCAGCTAAAGATTACGTTAGACATAGGCGGTCACATTCATGCGCACAAATGACGTCACGCGAGCATATTGCTCCCCGCGAGCTCTGGATTAGGAACCCCTGGCCTATAGGATCATAAAGTTATTATCCTCTATTTATCGAGATATTTAGTTCGTCGAACACTATCACAAAATAGCATTATTTTAATTTTTGAAATCTAAACATGTGATAATTATAACATGGTAAGCAGAGCACCTTATAAGTTTGGGCAAGAATTATGATTTATCTCGAGAATTTCAGTCTTTTGAAACTACCTAATTTTTCCAAAGACTTCTATTGTAGTTGTAGTGAGGTTTCGAATTTTGAAATTGGCTTTCGTCGCTTCTCCATGAAATTCTCCTTTGCTTGATACCTCTTTCATCAAAACACATCCCTCCTACGAGCGGAATATATATTACTTTTGTATATATAAAATGTATTATGATCGATAATTGAGGCGTGGCAATTCGAAACCAGCCAACTCCGTTTTTATCTTGATATATTGTCCCAAAGCCCATCAGGGAAAGTAATGAAACTCAAACATTAATTAAAGTTTAATAATTTCAGGGGTGCATCAGGGCTCTACTACCCCCTGGATAGAGTGGATCTCAATCGATGTGATGATGAAGTTGCGTCTATGTTTCCATCCAAGAGATGTGATACCCTCTCTACCAAAGTAAGTTATGCATGATTCCTTAACTCGGCAACTTAATTTTAATTCCAAAATTTTGGTTAACGTTAAATCCCATATGTTTTTTTTTTATATTTATACATGTCAATTTTAAAAAAATAAAGTTAACTTTTTTACTTAACGTTGCGTAGTTATCGTCTTAATATATAGCAAAAGTTTCTGTAAGAAAAATATTATTTAGTTATTTATTATTTCAACCCAACTATTACTGTATATAGCCGATTCATTGCAAAAATTCATTAAGTACACTTAAGATAGCCCTGAACCTTTAAGCGCTCAGTTTGGTAGTGAGAGAAAATTTGCATTAAAATTTATGAAAACGTTTAATCTCAAATAGAGATTTAGAGTAAAATGTAAAATTCCTTTTCACATCCCAATGACATCCTCAAAAGTAATTTTTATCAATTTCCATACTTCAGCTATATATCAGTAGTTGCGCATGTACTAGAAGGGTGTACATGCTTTATAATTATTGCAAAATTTTTATCAGCTGAGTTTCTTTAAAGTTGGAAAACATTTTTTTTTTTTTTTAAATTACGGTTTAAACATTTCAAAAAAGAAGTTGTCTCTAAGTGGTGTCGTTGAACTTTGAATGACACGATTATTGATGTTGACATTTTCATCATATTTATCAAAATTATGTATTGCAATTAAATTGCAATTAACTTTAAGTTGCGCGAAAGTTTTTAACTTTTTTTTTACCAGTTATTCCGTTTTTTTTTTCTTTTGGTGGTTTCAAAACTATGGTTAAATTCACCAAACAAAACGGAATAAATGGTAAACAAATTATAACGATCAAAAATGTCGAACAAAAAAACTAATTTAATTTGGGTGATATCAAACGGAATTGACTAACAAACGTTTTTTTTCCATTTCATTGCTATATTTTATGTTTACATAGAACAATTGTTTTCAGAGATTCATACATTACTATATTGCAAGACTTTCTAGTCTTGCATGCTAACCTCACCATTGCTCCAATCTTTTATTATTATCCAATTTTCATTCATTGGAGAACTATTTATTGTAGGTTTAGTCTTAAATAAATATGAATAAAATATAATTTACAATGTTTTGCTTTTAATATTGTTATAGTTTCTCGGAATACTGGGTTAGACATAATTACCAAAGTAATTATGTCTAACCCAGTAATTACGAACGTAATTATGATTACCAAAGTATTTATGAATAAAGTTATAATATAATCATACATGGTTTTAGAGGAATCAAACATAAATATTAGTATTATTTATAACGAATTTTAAAAGTTTAGTCTTATATTTTTTATTTAGTTCTAACTTCGAAAACTTTTTATATGATTTGGCATCTGGGCTCGTTCGTATAAACCTTAATAATAAAAAGTAAGATATCTGTTAAGGTAAGAAAGGAAAGGAAAACAAAATGTGTTGTATGTATAAAATAAATATAATGATTATTTATAAAAATATATAAACCCAGTAATTACATTACCTAAGGAACCCAGACATGGGTTCTGACGCAGGATTATGAGAAAAAGATAGGGAACGGGATGCTTTAGGAGATAATTTAGAATAAACAAAAAAGATTAAGTTCAAATATTATATGAACAGCCTGTTATTATGGCCGTAATAAAAAAGGAAAGGTTGAGCTGACACATTCATAGGAGCGTATAGAGAACAATCGCCTATCAAATTAATTAATATACAAAAGGCCAAGTGTCCAAAGACGTGTACGTCCTAGAATGAGATGGTTGGATAACATTGAGGTAGACCTACGGCAACTGGGAATTAAAAGATAGAGAGCTGATGCTGCCGATAGACCTGAGAAGCTAAGGAGTACATTTGGAGGGCAATCGCGCCAATTATAATAGTAATAATAAATATTGATTAAGAAATAAAAATTTTAAGATAAATTAAAAAATATATATTAAGGATGTACAATGCTGTGATAAACTCAATGCTGGTCTATGTTTGCGAGACCCGAACACAAACACGCACCTTAGAAAAAAAGTATTGAAAGGTTTGATAGAAAAATATTCCTCACTATAACCGGAGCGATCAGGGATCGGAGTAATAATATATAGAGTTGAAAGACTTATAAATAATTCTTCTTATCATGTGACGTTATTAATAAATAATTGGCCAATAATCAAGCAATGAAATCAATGAAGCAATGAAAGTTAAAATGAGAGGAACATGAAGTTCGGTGCAATCCACCAGGAAGCCTCAATACAACAATAGATCCCTCAATAGTTAGCAAGGGGTAACGTGGGGATCAGAACTGCATGCAGAAAACTGCAAAACACGCTGCAAAGTACGCCGTCCGCCATTCGCGCATTTTCTCCGAAACTACTGGACCGATTTTTCTCAAATTTGGATTTAAAGTCAGAGGTCACAATGGATGATCCTCCTTCAACGACATTACAATCCGCCTTTTCCTTTCAAGATGGGCACCAAGAAACCTGCGTTGCTATTGACTAGTGTTGCCCAAAGACGAGTCTTGGTCTTGCAAACTCAGTCTTGGTCTTGCGCAAGAGTCTCGCAACAGTCTTGCAGTTACTTATGAGCTTATTACTATAGGGATATTACAGTAATTTTGAGGAATTGAGTGCAAATGGATATTGTTTACACCATTTATTAACATATAGCAACTAAGATTGTCAAGTATAAGTAACTATATTGCCTTAATTTTTATTTAAAAAATCCATTTTTTTACCAGTCTTCGTCTTGGTCTTGCAAAGTGCAAGACCAAGACCGATATTGGGAAACACTACTATTGACTGTAGCGCCTAACCGAATGTACCGATTTCAAAGACACTTAGCTAAAATTTTCTTCTCGATGGCCTTTATAGCATCATATCGACGTTGCATCGTACAATATTTAAGGCAAGAAAAGCAGATATTAATCTTTTAAACGAAGTTGACTAAACATGTTATCTCACAGCTTTCATAGAATTGGCCTCTGGAGAATCAGGACAGCGATACAGTGATACAATTGTGACTGGAAAAGAGTAGATTATGATGACGATTGCTTTGGATTGTAGGGAATAATGAGCAGGCAAAAGAAGTAGGTAATGAGAGAGGGATTGGTGTACAATGGCAGTAGTTCCAGCATGTGCTGTACCGTCAGGATTGTCAGTATGTTAAGTATTATGCTATTTTCAAAAATTATTTTATGGTCAGTCGAGTTTCTATACTTCTATAGAGTTCTTGCACGATAGCATACTTAAACGAAAAGACGCTTGAAAAATAGTTACGAGGGATGGTAAAATTAGATTCCAAATAACTCAAATGGCGTAGGGAAGTAGCGACCCCATCATCCAGTCACGTGACTGCAATCAGCCACTGATCCTCCAGCTTGGGGGAACAATAACTCTGACACTCAAACAGTACACCATATACAGCATACTACATACACCACACATTAACATTCAAACGTCATCAACAGTACACACTCTAGGGTCACCTTCCCTAGGTAGCCGCCCCGGACGGAGGAGTGTGTCAGGATGCTCTAAGGAGGCAACCCCTTCACCTGACTCGGGGGCAGAGTTTGGGCTGATAACTCCCTCCCCTTAAATTTAATTACTGTGAAGCCCATACAGAGACAAGCCGGACTGAACCTAAGGCAACGACACGGTACCCATCTAATGGATTTTAAACTTGCAACATGGAACACTCTATCATTATACCGACCGGGAGCTCTAGATCATCTCCTAACACAATTGGACCGATATAAAATAGATATAGCTGCGATCCAAGAAATAAGGTGGACAGGCCAGGGAATATTTAACAAGAAAAATTATATTATATATTACAGCTGTCATGATCATCTGCATATCTATGGATCTGGGTTCGTCATCAATAAGAAGCTGGCTCAGCTCGTTGTTGTATTTAATGCTATTTCTCCCTGAATATGCTACCTCCGAATGAGAGGTAAATTCTATAATTTCAGCATTATGAGCATCCATGAACCAACAGAGCCAACGGAGGAAGATGAAAAGGATCGTTTTTACCAAGATCTTGAAAGAAGCATTGATAGTTGTCCGAGAGCTGATGCCAAGATTGTGATTGGGGACTTCAATGCCCAAATAGGAAAAGAACCTTAAGAAGGCATTGACTCTTAAAGAGTTTTAGAGCCATTCATGATGATGATGATGATTTGTTGATATTGTATATGGTTATTTAAAAGTTTACAAAATTTTCTAAAAAAAAACACAGTTAAAATTGGACGATTCGGAGCTAGATGGTCTTCGAAGATATGGTCTCTAGATGTTTTTTTATATGTTCTACTGCAAAGGTTATATCCTTTGTTTTGGATTTTGATGTTTGAATGTGTTACTGAAGTAATTTTTTTTTTTGGTTGTTTTTTTTAGCAAATTATTAATGATGAAAGAATAATGGTTTTTAAGTCAAAGTGAGACATTAGAATTCGCATCCATCCATATTGTGTGTAGTATAAACAGCAAAATAATAATACTAAAATTAAATGTATATAAACTAAAATAAAATAAAATAAACTTATCAAAATAACTACACAAATACAATCATGCTTTTATGCAATATTTACAAAATTCATTCACTCAAGATCCTCCAGCTATTAGAAGAAAAGCCAGGACTCTAAGAGATCCCCGCGCCTATCACTCAGCCGCGCTACTGGTATTAAGCACTATTGGAGGTTGAGCAGAGGCGCTATAACCGTATAGACATACATGGCTTGAGCGGAGAATCCAGAATTCCAATGTATGCTTACCATAGGTCTCTCTCTGAGCCACTGCCGCTTCAACCTTCGAGGATTGTATGGATAGGTAGAATTTAAAAATCAAAATTTTGAAAGCAGCAGAGATCAATACTATTCAATAGGTATTCAATTCAAGTCTGAAAAAATCTGGTGCCCGCAACACACAACTTTCACTTACCACACTACTTGAATATAAGTTATTTTCTGGCAATGATGGACTATTATAAAAATTATTAAGTGCATTTTTAATCGATCTAAAGCTTAAAACT